ACCAGGCTTCTTGGGCAGCGGTTCGTATACATAAAACAGATTCGACATCCGTAATAATGAGGAAAAGAAAGCTACGGCTATCACAAATGTTAGGCTTATCGGTTTGTATTAGGTTTAACTGAGCGCAGATCGTGTTAACATTTTGCAAGTGCTTGGTATAATTACGTTCTTCAAGTGCTTGTGCAAACAACATACCCTCACCCGTTCCCCACGTAATAATCCTAACATTACGTTCCAGCGATTAGGTCGGACTTTTGTAAATTACCTCAAAAGTTGGTTGAAAAAAACAAGGGAAACAATACCTTAATTTCGACAAAAACAAAACCGAAATCTCGACACTGTGAAAATATAAAAGAGTCATTTCTAAGCTCAAGCCTTCAGCCTTCAACGTCCATAATTCTAGATAGATACGAAACTTATAATGGCGACGATTGTAACAATACACCTGTTTATCATTACATAGCGTGTGTTATTCAATTATTGTATCAAAGCACGTTATTCGTCTGTCAAGTAATACTTAATAACGAATTTCAAACACTCGTAAAAACTAAGGTTTTGGGCGAATACATCACTCCAGTTCAACTGTATCCGTTCTCTGAGAGTCATTTAATCTACATAGTGTCGTTAATTATTCTCCAAAACCGTAAATATATAAAAATATCCAATGTTTATTATTCAAATAAAATCGTTGAAATTATGTTTTACTTTTTTTAATTTAGTTATTTTCTGGAAATAGAATGTTAGAACATTTTGTCCTTGAATATAACCACTTACTAATCTGTCATTGGTCTTATTTAACTTTTAATATATATATAAAATCTCTTACTACTTCGTGATTGGTTATGTGTAACTTACTCATTTGTGATTGGTTCTATATAATAGCTTACTAATCTGTCATTGGTCTTATTTAACTTTTAATGTATATATAAAATCTCTTACAACTTCGTGATTGGTTATGTGTAACTTACTCATTTGTGATTGGTCCTATATAATAGTTTACTAATCTGTCATTGGACATGTATAGTAGCTTACTAATTTGTAATTGGCTATAATCGCTATCCATTTTTTCATAATATGCCGTAAGATTCTTAATGATATTTGTGAAATATTGATTCAGGACTATCAAAACATTCAACTATTACAAGAATTTCCGTACGATGTGTGTGTGACTTTCCAAAAAAAACATCATAATTTGGAGTTTTTTGTTTTTTTTACTTGTGAGAGGCTGCTCACAACAAAATCATTTCATATTGAAGCAATATGTGATGGAGTTAGGGGATTCTGTTATATAGGACTGTGACAATTGGTTCAGGAATACAATAATATACTTCCTATATCGATAAACGACAGCTACATTTTTCTTGTCATTTTACAAGATTGTGGGGGTAAACTTTAGTTTTGTTGTGGCGATAAGTATCCAGCATGGGAAGGTTATCGAAAGTAAGGAACATCTCCGCTAGGGTACCCAGACTGTCGAACACATTCAGCCCCTCACCAGTAAAACCGGCAGTTTAAGAAACCTAGTACAGTTTGATCTGTTTCTCTCTCTCTGTGCCTCTATTACTCTTTGTCTATACGTCTGTTTCTCTGGCTATCCATCTCTCTCTCTATTGGTCTGGTACGTAAAGAACTGAAATAATACGTCACTACTATTTGACGTTATTTGAAAAATGTCCAATAAGTCTAACATTAATACCTGACATCCCTTATCACCATTAGTAAATGGAACCGTTTGAGGTACACACTGGATACTTTGTTACTGTGAGCTCTGACTCCTCATCACCTGTCAAGAATGACACAGTCTACTGAATCCCCATCACCTGACAGCAGTGATACAGCATACTGAGTCCCCATCACCTGACAGCAGTGATACAGCCTACTGCGTCCCCATCACCTGACAGCAGCGATACACTCTACTGAGTCCCCATTACCTGACAGCAGTGATACAGTTTACTGAGTCCCCATTACCTGACAGCAGTGATACAGCCTACTTCGTCCCCATCACCTGACAGCAGCGATACACTCTACTGAGTCC